TTCACTACTACTTCTAATCTTCTATGCTGTAATCAGCATATACACAATTTGATAAAAAGTAACAAACCTGGTACAATTTAAAAGAATAATTTAACATAATTTTGTAATCCATAATCGCTAATGAGCGAACACTTGCAGGCAGGCCGAATAAAGGAAAATTGTCAGTTACATAAACTCAAAACTGGTTCGGTTAAATATTCAATATGAATAGACTAAACCACGCCAGGTCAATCTTAAAATACGCTATTGATTCTTGTCGCCTAAAAAGATCGAGCACTGGTGAAAACTATACTGCTGGTAGCTATACTATGAAGTAGCGGATATTCCACAATACACCTGTCATGAAAGATTTGAATAGACACAACAGTCGTGAGCTATTATGAAATAAAACAATACAATATTTTTTATTTTAGAATTATTATTAAATTATCTAAAGAGCATGTAAAGATGCGCAATTTACTTTCTGATTACGTAAATCTAAAACGAAAATTTAATTACTAAGTCACAAACAGGTATGTGTGTGTAAACATAACATAGATTATAAATCAGTAACTACACATTTTCAGCCAAGTTATTCGTCTGTTTAGTAACGTCACACTATGACAGAAACACACAAAAAAGTTCTTTAGGTAAAACAGTGCAATTAAACTGAGTTAGATTTTATGAATTAGATAAAAATAGTTAAAATTGTAAAACAGTCATGTCATGATTTTGTGCACAGTATATACTTTAAACCAGGGCACTTACGAAGGGAAATGTCACTATTAAGACGAAAATCGTATTAAGTATTAAGAAGCTTTCCCTGCTTAATACCATACATGGTTCCGTATTGCGTCTATGTTAACCAACCGTTAATAAAACATCCTCTAAAAGCCTCTAGACGTGAACTAAAACTCTATTTAAATCTATTAAAATGGTGGTTCAAATTTTCTTATTCATGCGTCTTTTCAAAATATAGCACCTAATTATTTCACATTGAGTCTCCTATTCAGTGGTTGTTTACGTGTAGACTTTTGTTTAGTTTTTAATTACAGCACGCGGTGGCAATTACTATTCTTTGTACAAATTTTCAATGAGAGCCTTCACTCCGTAATATGGCCGAGTGCAGGGTTTTAGCGATGCGTGGCGCTCGCCTTAAATCTCTCTTACACTACATTTTGGTTGGATAACCCTTCTTACGAGTTATTGGGTTATGAATGTTTTTGCTATGGGAAGGAAACTGTTTCTGACAGTTTGAAATAAAAAAATGGAACGGCAATATATTTTAGTATGAAAAGAAGCAACAAAAAGATTAATTTATGCGACATGTTAAATATTTGATATCAGGGTAAAAGGCCTGGCCTGCCCACGCTTTCGGCGGAAAATAAACACTTTGATGTGACATCGAAAATTATTTTTTGGGAATTATTACTTCATTTATTTAACTTAACTTCTGCTGTTACAGAAGTAATGTATAAAATTAATGTCTTAGTAAAATGTTAATTCATAAAACAACTTCGATAACGTTCCGTTCTTGACATTTTTCGAGAAGTACTCAGTATTTAAAACGTGTTTTGTCAGGTCTGGTTACAAAGAGTAATTATTGTGCAGCCGTTTAATCACAACGACCGTTAGCTGTTTGATACGACTAGCTAATATTTAGCCAAGTATTAACATTTCCAGCTTTAAGGGTGCGTACAGACTATGTAACATATTATATAACTTGTGTTTTATAACACGTCCACATTATGTAACCTTGTTATTCAACATTATAACATAAAACAATACTGTACACATTAGAATAACAATGCAATATAACAATGTTATATAACCATTTTAAATAACAAAAGAAAAACAAAAAAACGTAGATGCTGGGTTCGTCCTTGTCCACGTTATCTGAAACATGTTGTATAGCAATGTTGTATAACATGTTATGTTAAATAGTCTGTACGCACCTTAAGAGTGTACTTTTCTCTTGATTTAAGTATGTCATTAAAAAGTACTTGGTGTGTTTTTTTATTGTTGTTTATTAAAATAATTTTTAGAGTATTTTTAAATTTGTCTTGACCGCGTATACAACTGCGTATTCTGGTATTTAAATTTTAGATAAAAAATACATTCGTGTGTTTTTCAGACTTGAGAAAACATTAAACGCTAGAATAAGGTAATGTATTAGTTCATCAGCGTTTAGTGAGTTATAGACCTAATGTTCTTTTTAAAGTTAGATAGTTAAATACAAATCTGTATGCTAAAATTCATACAAATGTTTAATTGAATAGCTGTCATATTACTACACACGTTCGGCTGTTATAAGTGAAACGTCAAATATTGCCTCGAATATCTTCACCTAAGTTAATAAATTGATAGATTAATGGTCGACCACTCAAACATTAATCAAAGTTGAAGGCAATCTAGGTGTAGTGCTATTCCGTCCGATTACATTAAATATCAGAGAGACATTTATTAAAGACTTTGACTTAGAATCTTCTAATAGCGTATTTCCTTGCATAATACACAACGTGTAATTTAAACAAATGAAACAAATTAAAAGAGTGAAATATTATGTACTCCGTGGACAGACACAAATCAATACAATATGCGTCTGTGTCTTGATGCATTATTTTTTGTCCAACAAATTAAAGCAAAGAAAATTTGTTATTATTATTTTTAAAATATATATATACCATTTGTTTAGCTTTCGAAAAAATATTAGATTAACCGAAACTGGTCATCGCTATTTCTTTGATATTTTTGAACTAAACTAGGTAAACTACAATAGTATTTTGATAAGATCTCTTATTTAAACCGAATACACCTCAGGAAAATCTGTTTTTCTTTCGCACAGAATAAATTTATTTCATCATCATTAATTCAATAAATAATTATTCTTTTTTTTATGTAATAGGAGGCAAACGGGCAGGAGGTTCATCTGATGTTAGGTGATACCCGCCACCCATGGACACTCACATTTCCAGAAGGCTCGCAAGTGCGTTGCCTGACTTTCTTTTCTTGAAGGACCCTTTTTAAATTGGTTCGGAAATACTGGGAATGGGAATCTGGTTCCACGTTCTGCATAATAAACCAACAAATATAAAATAATTACATTCCTGTATTAAAAAGCTAACTATTTATAACTGTATATTACACTATTAACTGTTGTTTATTAAAAAAAAAGGGGGAAAAAAAAAAAAAAAAAAAAAAAAAAAAAAAAAAAAAAAAGAAAGGAAAAAAAAAAAAAAAAAAAAAAAAAAGGGGGGAAAAGAGGGGAAAATTTAGGAATTAAAAAAAAAAAAAAAAAAGGGGTGGGGAGAAGGTTGTCTAATAACAATCTATTTAATAGGTTGACAAATACGATTATTTTACTATAAGCTGTAATCGTTGATAAAATAATTTTATTTAAGTATATCGGAGTTGAATGATATTTCGTGTCAAAAGAATCTTGTTGCATTCTTAATTATGAGGAAAAATTCCAGCCCGGAACATGATAATTGATTAGGGGACACAATGGCGCATTGTCCTTTCTAGACATTTCCAAGATTTTGTTTTGATTTTATGAAATTGTTGGGGAGTGTTTGGCGAGTGTGTTTGCACTAATGTAAACCGAGTCGGTTTACACAGTATTGCCTTGGGAAATTAAGATGGAAAAACCATATTATAGTGCAGTTATTTGGCATTCGCCTTGGAGCTTGAAGGTTATTTTACTTTTGCTTGGAGTGTCTCTCTTATAAATTAAGTTTGATCACTTTGTTTAAACTTTATATTTATGATCAAAAATCCAGATTTAATTTGGCAAACTTTGTATTTTAAATAAGATCTGCTTTGTGGATGTGTATCAAGACTTATTTCTTACTAGTCACTAGTTTTTTTTATACAAATGGGCTCTTAGGCCGTTTCTCCACTGCTCCGGTCCGGCAAACGTTAATTACCGATCCGATTTAGAAACTCACAACAGTACTTACGTGCTTCTCTACTACTCCGGCATCTGGTTTTTAACGATCCGATAACTTGCTAGATCGGAACGCGGTGTTTTATCGATCCAAGTATCCAAGTTTTAAATTATTATTCACAGGTTTATTTATAGTTTCTTTAATTTGAAAGAATCTGGATAACCTGGACCAAACCAAATTATGTTGCTATTTATTTATATTTTTATACCATAGTATTAGTGAATTATTTATTAAGTAGATTATAATATTTTAAGATAGACAATATAAAAAAAGTAATAAACTTGCCAGGGCAATTAAATACATATTCAGAATTTAGAACGTTTTATTAATAAAATAAAGTATGTGGGTTTTAGTAAATATAAGTGTTGCATGATAAATATACAAGTATCGATTATTGTCGGATCGGATATAGTGGAGAAGTGCAATCCGGCGTTCCGATATTTTTCTCATGACTCATTCCGGTATCCGACGCCGGACCGGAGCAGTGGAGAAAGGGCCTTAAGCACTATGCGTTTACTAAATTGCAATTATTCATAAATATTTTTGGATATACATTTGTTAAACAATTATTGGATAAATTTGTATTTACCTTTATCCATCTGTATTGTAATAAAAGCGTCTTCCGTACTTGCCAATTAACGAGTGTTTATAAAACTATAGAAGATTATCAGATTAAATATTGGATCACTTTTAACAAATTTGCATCGATTTAAAAGTAATTTTTACTAACTTACGTTTGCAACTTAGTCCGTTTTCAAGTAATATTTAGGAAGCTAAATCTCTACTGAACATAGAGGTACAGTAGGTACGTCAATATTAATGTTTTTATGGTACGATTTGTAGTAAAGGGAAAACAAGGATGTAATATCTTGAGGATGTAATTATCTAGAAAACGTAATCATATGTAAATAAATATATTTTATTATTAAGTGTATTATTTACACAACTAACACAAGTATTATTTATACTCTTATCTAGCAAATAACACTTAAAGGAACATGATAAGCAAACATTTTCATATAAATGCACCTATGCCATTCTTATAACATCAATTGTAGACAGAACAGTGCCGTGATGAGTTTTCTAAACAAAGTTGTTTTAATCACCGGAGCCAGCTCTGGTATCGGTGCAGCAGCGGCCGTAGAATTCGCGAAAGTTGGAGCCAAAGTTGCCATTGTTGGAAGAAATGTAGAAAAACTTCACAAAGTATCCGAATTGTGCATTAAAAATGGATCTAAACCATTGGTCATCAACGCTGATCTTGGTAACGATGAAGAATGTAAAAAAATAATTGATCTTGTGATAAAAGAATTTGGTAAACTTGATGTACTAGTAAACAATGCTGGTTTTCTACATTATGGATCCATTTTAGAAGGTAATATTCTAGAAGGTTACGATAAAACAATGAGAATTAACGTACGTGCGCACGTTCACATGACATCGCTTGCTGCACCTTACTTGGTTAAGTCCAAAGGAAATATTATTAATATATCAAGCGTAGCTGCAACAAGTACAACAAGTTTAAAAGGTCGGACTCCATACTTTGTATCAAAAGCTGCTTTAAACCACTTTACTCGATGTTGTGCCAAGGAACTGGCAAGCGACGGTGTAAGAGTCAATACAATTAGTCCCGGTCCAGTAAAAACTGACTTTTTTGACAATTCAGGTCTGGATGACATTGACATAGACAGCTTTGCAGGTATGATGCCGCTTAAAAGGGTATCAGAGTCAGTAGAAGTAGCTGATATGATTATTTTCTTAGCTAGTGACCGAGCTGTTGGTATTACTGGTTCGGAATTTGTTGTCGATAATGGATATTTATTAAGGGTATAATATTGTATTATAATCGTTATCAAATAATTCAACCAAATTATTGTTCTTTAATTCTGTTTAAAATTGGATATAAGCTATTTTCTAAACTACTTTATACAATAGATATTCTTCACAGTAGTCGTCGTTAAGTTTATATAATCGTTCCAGATAATTAAGTGTTTTCTTATGTCAACTTTGACAAACAAGATCAACCGCAAATTTAATAGGTTCCACAGCTATATGTTGCGTAAAAATAATAGAAATACTTTATTTATTCTGAATCAATACAAAAGCTTCTAGTACATACGGGCATACGAAATCCTCCTTAATAAAGTACCTTCAACAAAACCTTCGTTAAATATAATTACATCATTCCCAAACCTTTTATCGAAATTGATCAAAAGCTTTGTCAAAAGATAACTCTTCTAAAGGTCATTGAAAGATGACGAAAAGGCTTACAGAGACCTTGGCAAAATCGATTTGTCGAAACGTGCGCGATATTTTAACATAAGCCGGTGATATACTGACAATATCGATATTAGAGATAAACCATTGAGGTGATAATGTTGTACTTTATCATATTTCAACTATGAATTAATGCTTTGTTAAGAGATATATATATCTATATCCATAATGCAACGCATATTTCGCATAACACGAACAACAATTGTTCGCGTAGGAATTTTCTATTTTGAATTTTTTAAATTTATAAAACAAAATGTGTCAATCTCATGCACTATTAAGGGGTACTCCAAACACACGTTAGCATCGTTAAACATATCAAATATCTCTTATACGAATGTATTATCATATTCATTAAATAAATCTTGTATGACGCTAATACCTACTCATTAGGTAGAAGACTGATAATCACTCAACAATTTCATGTTTTATCGTACGACATTAGACTGTTTGAATAAACTGAAAATTACTTGAAATACTAGCTTTAAGGTACGAATTTAACATAAGCATATTAAGGGAATACGAACAAATTATAGTAACGAAATCTTGTCTTTCTCATTACCTTTATAGTATCTTTACATTTGTATTATTTGGCTAGTATCGGAAACTGAATAGCGGTATTTTCTCAATCATATCAAAATAGTTCCTCGGGCGCAACATAATCGAAAGGTATTGTATCGTATGGAATAATGACAATGATCTTGTATGCAAATGAGTTACATCATATTGGTCAATACGGTGGTAATGTCGTGGTCGCCGCTACTCCATACATAACGTTCTGAACGACAGCTCGATTAAGCACAGCCATTTTGTGGCCATGGATTGAAAACGTATTTTACTTAATATTGCGAAAATATTGTTCATTCGCCGAATAATTTCGGTTTTCAATTTAATGTATTCATGTTAAGTACATTTTTGTACCCATTTTCTTTTAGTGTTTATTAAAATGCATATTTAAGTGTATATTTTTGTACATTTTACCTTTTTTTAATATCGTTTAAGGTCAAATGTGATTTTTGGAAGGAATCGTAAAAGTATTACGTTTAAAACTTTTAGTTATAATTTCTACGGAAATAAGTTATTGTATTCAAATAATAAATACAAATATACACAGTTATCTGATTAATTGAACTTTTGAAGCTATAGACATATACGTATGTCATTTCCTTAACGATACGAGGTTTTGTACTGCTGGGGCTGACGCCACAGACTAACGGCAACAGTTTAACCGTTTTTATAGATTTAAGTGCATACTAACACATAACACTCTATATAATTGTTTTCAATTCAGAACGAAAACAATTGAAAAAAAGTGTTGTTATAACTTAAAAACGGCCTTACTCTCACACTCACTCCGCTGGCTCTACGAACCAAAATGTGTCTTGACGTCCGAAACGAGAAACTTCCGGCATCCTGCCTTCCTGCTACGGCTGAAAGCCAAAAATTGGAGGAAATTGGCATGGGACAGGGATTTGTTCGGCCTACCATTCTTTTATACGATTTTCATTCCATTTAAGTGTTCTTCTACCATAAACACGAATGGCTTATATTGGCTATATAATGGTCTAAATAAAAAAATATATAACAAGTTTACCACACCTATATATTAAAACCACACCGGAAGGTCGCCGAATATAAATTTAGCTACATAGGTTTGGAGACACTGGTAAAAATCCCGATTCTCAAGAAGCCCAACTGAAAAATTATTCTGTGCCAACAACGTATGTGTGTAGGGTTTATAGACCGAATGGATTTCAGTTCGACGGGTTTATTGAAAATAACGTTCGCCGAGTTTTTTCGCCTGGAAACGGGTATGTTTGTTTCGTGGATTTTTGTTTTGTTTTACATCTTGTTAATTACTTATTTCATGTTACTTTTTATTTATCAGAATTATTGAAAATATTTTATTTTTATTTCTTCAGCTATGATTTCAGCTTTACAGTTTCGGGATTTTGGAATATGGCATCTATAGCTGGCTATGCGTCATGCTCGTGAACGGGTGCTGCTTGTGGTGACTGGTCGTACTTGAATTCGTGTATGCGGTGATGTTGGTTATTTCGACTATGTGTTTGCGTGTTGTTCCCACGAGAATGAAAGTGCGTGCTCCTATTTCACCATGCCTCCTGCTGATAGAGGACAACTCTTTGTTTTTAATTTATGTTATAATTATTAATTACTTAAAATGTTACATGGGACATGGTGTAATTGTTGCAGCTCCTTACAAACATTTTGTAAAACAAAAAAATGGCGATTAAAAAGAGTGGCTGAGAGTTTATTGCCAGTTCTGCTCTCCCGTTCTACGCCCTTGATTTGAGAACTGGCAGTAAATGTAAAATTAGAAGCATTAATATGTATTTCTTTACTGACAAGTCATAAGTGTACATTATGTTACCTATATGATTAAATGATTTTTTACTTTTACTTTTTACTTTTATTCAGTGTTTAGGTAGGTACTTCATACACAAATGTATAACTGAATAAAACTATGTTTATGTATTGTATGTATAGATATATTCAAAAACGCGACCTAACCATACATTTTAAAGCGAGATCTGCAATCCCTTTCCAATTACAATCACTTAAGTTATCCTTTACACAATGGACTAGCAAATAAATATGCAATCGGAAGACTTGTTTTACGAAGAGTTATTAATGTGACCAAAATATACATACAAAAGATACCCTAAACATTTATTTTTATTATCTGAAAATAATTTTACATAGATGCAAGCCAACCAACAAACAAAAACTACATTAAAGTAGACAAACTGATGGATACAGCAGTTTGGCGAGTGCAATTATCATTAGAAGCGAACAATGAGACAATTATAGGGCAGCTCGTTAGGTAACCGATCAATTAGCTTCGATTTTGAACTTTCTAACGGAGTTAGGCGTTCGGGAACATTAATTTAGGTGTAATTCGTTCGCTTGATGCTCCCTTAGAGCCAAATGCTGTTTTCCTACTCTGTTTATCCGATACAACTGATGAAATGTATTTTTTTTATGTAATAGGAGGCAAACGGGCAGGAGGCTCACCTGATGTTAAGTGATACCGCCGCCCATGGACACTCACAATGCCAGAAGGCTCGCAAGTGCGTTGCCAGCCTTTCAAGAATTGGTACGCTCTTTTCTTGAAGGACCCTAAGTCGAATTGGTTGGTATGTAAAAATATAATTGCTACTACAATTCTTTTACGTTTATTTTGAAATTCTCATACGAATTATATTTGTACGTGCCAAGAACTGACCAAATTAAACTAAAAGGTGAAACAGAGAAGCTTAAGAAGGTATTTAATTGAATTCATATGACACTTCTTTATAGTAATAATATTTGGGTCTATACACAATAAATAGGATCTATGTTTTTGAGTTGTAAGTCTGCATTAGAGAAAGATACGCACAGTCACGGATAGAATAAGCTTGTTTATCTACGTAATAATCCATTGGCGTACACTTGATCTCTTATATTGCGAAAAACTTGCATTACAAATATTAATGTTTGATAATAAAATAATTATTTGAGTTTTATCACCAGACTCTCATAAACACACAAATACACACACACTTATATACACAACTTATATACATAAATATAAGTTATTAATTATATTGTGTAGAAACTTGTATTAAAAAATATTAAATAGAAAATTAAATAACTAATTTAAACATTACTCGTGCAAGGGTTCAGTGCAGCGATTAAATTAGTTCACTCGAGTGAAATGCCTCCTAAGAAACCTTTGACATTTACCCATGCACTTATAGCATAATTGATATTTCAAAATGGTCAGCCTATTTGGCCTTTTGATAGGTCCTTTTAAGTCTTAAACTAAGTTTTATAAATTTCAACAGATTTAAGAATTAACTATATACAATTTCCGAGAAAAAGGAAGAAAGAAAGAAGGGTAAGGTTTTCGATGAATAGACAGAAACTTTTAAATAGAAACGGAGTTTGCTCCTCGTAATTGTTATCTTTCTGATCCGTCGCCTATTGTTCTTTAGTTAATTAATAATAATATTTTTATATAAAACCATATATGAGATAGGACTTTTATATGCCAGCAAATGATTTGGGTTAAGATACAGTTTTCTTAAAAATAATGTTAAAAATACAACATGACGTGGCAATGTTTTAGATAACGTCAAACTATGAATACAATACCTGACAGTGGTGATTTGTATAAACTCAAAATTGGCTCAGACATTAGCGGTCCGGCGGCTTCTGGAAATAAATATTCTATTTTAAACATTAATCCATCTGTTTAATCCCAATTCACTGATTTACCATGAGATTGCTGCGAAATTGCTCTATTAAAATATTTAGTTTTAAAATGTTTTGATATTTTTCGAATAGCTATATAATTTTAAGTATATTTGGTAAATACTCCGCATTTATAAAGAATTTGACTATAATTTCTATATAAATGACCAATCATTGATTTCTAACCTCTAGGAACATATGATTGGAGAAAATTTAAACTTCGAATTGTATTGTTCATTTGTTTTTGTACTTCTTTATTTAAAATCTGCATTTACCTTGCGTCTGATAATCGACTGATTATC